GGGGGGGGGCACTTCAGAAAAGAGGAGCCATTGAAAAAGCTGGTCACTGGCACTCCAGGGTCCAGTTATTCAAAGGCCGATTAGCTCTAACCCAGGGTTAAATTTTAATCCAGGTTTCTACATTTCTCTGATCAAAAGCCATTTTGAGATAATTTTCCTAGTTCTTTTTAGGACATTCAATCATCAAATTGTAGACAAATGGAATTAAGCTGAATTTTCTTTCAGAGCTTTCAGATCTGAAATCAAATTTCACACTAACCCTGGGTTATCTTAAACAGCTTTGAATAACCCCTCCCAGGAGAACAATATTATTTTATATCTCAAACAGCAACTAATCTGATAACCTTACCCAGCTACGACATGCAATTCAAAACACAAACGTTGAGGCTTCTCTCATTCTTTAACCCAACTTTCTATCTTATTTAATTTTCATTTGGACTAAGTGCAGACCCTCCTTTTCAGGGAAGTTTGTCACACCAGTTATAAAAGGTCAGTGAAAAAAAAACTTAATGTTAATACGCCATGCAGATCTCTAGGAGTTAGGCACATGAAATAGTAGTTCCTCACTCCAAGAGTTTGACGCTGAAATTCTTTTGACCCACAACTCAGACTTTGCCAAAAAAAAGGGACTGCTTGTTGCTAGGTTTTTGTTATTGTCCCATTGAAATGAGAATGTCTCTTGAAATTGTCACAATAAATTTTGAGGAAAGGATAGGAAGACCAATCATTACTTTACACACCTATTTGTAAAGGGGGGTTGACGCTTTTGTAAAATGTTCCAACATAATAAAAATTGGTCTCTGGTTGAGAAACTTTTAAGGTTACTGTGGCTGGTAGAGTGCACATATTGACTGTTGCTTCATAAAATACTGCCTTGTCATCAGCGAATCCCAAGCAATCCAAAGTTTTGTTTGATGTCTTGCCACAGGGAAAAGGAGGGCGCTCTGTGGATTAGAAAGAAAAAAAATGAGCTTGAGGAAATAAACAATTACTGTATGATAATTTTATTTTGAAATGCTCTTTGTAAAACTTTCATTCAAATTAGACAACAATTTCCAGCTGTTGAGTATACCAAATACACTACCGCACTCCAGCCCCTCTCCTTACCTTTGACTATCACTCACCCCCTTAGTGTAAATTTCTTTCTCTCCCCAGCCTTCCGCTGCCATTAAAATCAAAGATGGCGACCTTTTTTCCCTAAGTAAATACTGAGCACTCGCGCGCCCAAATTATACCTGATCTGCAGGCTATGTCCATATCAGTACATTTTAAACACCTATTTGACGATATGCACTCGTTTTATGGTTGCCAAACGCACTAATTGTCGTATAATTAGCGCATTTAACCCTTGATGAGGATTATTTTTAGAAGGCGATCTAGACAAGCAATTAGTCGCTGCAATTATAGATTAAATTAACTTTAGTGGAAGGGAATTTTTAGATGCGATGAAAATAAATTCAAACGCAGAGGATATTGATGACGCCATTTAAAATGACGCAACCGTGATGGTTTTGTTTGTAACTGTCTCATATTGAACACAAGATATTGTTTACATCGTGAAGAATGAATCAAATATATAACAGCAAGTTTAATTAATCATACTTACGGAAGCTTCGGATGACAGATCTCCCATATAGAGGCTGGACGGGTCTGTAATTGTCAACTAAGGGCAATTTCTTAGTGTCTTGTTTTTCACTGTCAAAAAGATCTCTAAATTTATCCAGTTGAGCTTGGGATATAGGAAATGTGTGGTTGAAAACAAACCACTGCACACTTTCAAAACATCCAGGAGTAGTAAGTGAGCCTCTGTAAGTGTAATATTGAGCAATGTCGTGTGGTAAGAATGAAAAATGTTGTAGAGAAGGCAAAATTACTTCGTTGCCTTTATAACGAGCTTTGTCGAGGTTATCCACCATCACATCGAAAACCGGGTTGTCTTGCACTTGCAGTTCGACCAATATTCCCAAAACTGCCAAGCCATCTCCTTTATCCACAGCCTCCGATACGCTAGGGTACTTTTCCGCATTGTAGTGTACAATGTGTATCTCTAAGGGAAATTTTCTTCCACCGACCTGATGCTCTGAACCGCGAGAATTCTCGCTGCCCCAGTGAAAGTGCATTTGCAGAGCGCGAAAATGCGAAGTCAAATTTCCACCCGAAATATTGGACTTGCCGGTTAAAAAAGTCGCCTGAACGGTATGTCCGTTATTGAATAGCTTAGCAGAAACGCTTTTCTCGTAGTTGACAACTAAGTCGGCAAGTCCCGGTTCGAAAAAAGTATCTTTTGGTACAATGTTTATCGGAGACTGTTCGTGACCTTCGCAATCCTTGTAGTGATGTTTCCACGTGTCGGGTCCCTCCGGGTCGCGGTAAGTCCAGGATCCTGCACTTTCTGCCAAGTTTGGACATGCGACAATCATGGCAAGTAACGAAGAGATAAATAGGGAGAGTTTCATCGTGATTTCGCTGCAAAGGAGGCTCTTGGTGCAGCTAAATTTCGATGCCAACTTTCTTCCACACCCTAGCTTCGGATCGCAACAGCAGAGACCCACAACTGTTTTGGTTACAAGAAAGTGGAGCCCAGTCTCTCAACCCAATTGAACGAACAAGTCCAAGGTTCGGAAGAAACACTACAATATTCTCGAGCATAGCTGAGCAAATGATCGATAATACAGCAAAGAAACTTATTCCTTCTCAGAATATTTTTTCAGACTGATATTAATTAAGTGTTGTTGGCTCCCCTTCAAGAGTTGTCATGGCGATTTCGTAAAATCCTTCAGACCTGACACGTCATGTAAACAGTACATCATGCTTTACCTCGGCAACACATTCGTTTATCTTCGTTTGGAAAAATTAGTAATCGTTGTTTCTGGTAAAAATTTTGCTTCCCTTTTCTGTCTCTGTGTAGTGTAAGCAAGGAAATTTAACCTCGTAAAAGCGACCTTTTTTATTACGTGATGACTCATTAAAAATATACATCTAGAGTTAGCGAAAAATTATCGATGTTGCTTGTCTTCCACAGAAGGGGACGAAGGAAAGGTCTTTTTTTTTTTTAAAAAAGAAAGCTACCTATTTAAAAAAGGGCATTAAAATATATCAAAACATGAGTAAAAAGTTGCCAAACTTCCGGGATCTCGCGTTTTGAAGCTCAGTTTCTTGAAAGGAAAAAAAAAAAAAAGCTTGTACTACTTTTCGATCATATCAGTGTCCTTATGGGGAGTTGTATTGTGCGAGTAACTAAGAAAAAAATACTTTGATCATTAAAAATTTAGGTCCTCTGTCTGCTTGGGAGATTGGGACACCCAGTTAGAAAATTGACTATTTTATCAGTACAAAAATCTTTGAAGCTTTCCTCAGTCCGAAATCCGTTACAGCGATGGAAAATTTTGATTGTCTCCAGTAGTTTGCTGGCTAGCATTTTAAAACTTGAAGCTGAATTGAACTTTAGTAGCAAAAATCGTTGTCTTCATCTCATGCAAACTATTAACTCAAAAACAGTGAAATTTAAAATTATGAAAGAGTTTCTCTATACCTCTGTTGGAAGTCCAAATTTAGTCGACAATCACCTATTGTATGACTACGGATCATTTAAAAAACATTTTACACCCTGGTTACCTAACTTTATTCTACTTGATCAGGTATGCACACTAAATTGGTAACTGAATGAAACTTCACCTCTGTACATGCAATCACGCAAATATGTATTAGAAAATCACGCGCTAGACGATACTGATCCATTTTGTGCAGCGCATATCATTGGTTTTTCCCTTTAATATTAAAGCTGTATAAGGTAGAAATGTTTCTTTATACCGGCGAACAATATGCTTACAAAATATTCGCGAGTGCATCTCATCATTCTGATGTCAGTGCTCTAAGTTTGTTAAAAAAAACTATAACTGCCAAAAAACCGAGTAATTTCCCTTACTATGAATACAAATGTTATTGGAACTACAATACAACTCATTTATTTATTCCTTTTGCGACGCCTTCAGCCAAGTTTTATGTAAATATAAGGAAGACTCTTAATATTATTCTAGTTTGAAGGGATGGAGAGATGAGAAACCAAGCCCAAGATGAAAGAGATTAAGGTAGATTAAACATAATGGCTTGAAAAATGGATCCACCAAGCATTCTGATGTGCAAATCTGGCACTTTACTTGAAATAAACTTACTTGCTCAAATCTGGTGACGTAAATGTTTAACAAGTAAACAATATTTTGACAAAAGTACATCCATTAGCTTCACTTTGCCAACTCTTTCTTACTTTCTAAATAAATAACCACGATAACAACGACCAAAACCAGAACAAACGGAATACATTTTTTTTTTTGTCAAACCGTTGACAAGTTCTGCCGGGATGTTTGGGTTGCGAGCCACAACTGCCACTAAAAATTCCAAACTACTAGTTGATTTTCTAAGTCTGGAATCTCGATATTTTGCTCAGTACAAAGTTTCAAACAGACCATACAGTACATGACTTGATACAGCTACAGTTCACCTTTCACGTGCTTGATCAAATATTTCACAAATGAAAACAGACAGTAAATTTTGGTTCCAATAACCACCACTTGATTTAATGTTGACTTGCCACTTAAACCTTGACGTAAAATAAAATTACTGAATGCTAAATAAACTTTATTTTCTTCAATATTTAAAAAAAAGAAGGGTTATCAGCTGACAGCTTATTTGATTTTCTTTGGGTTAGCTTGAAGAGCAGTAGAATCATACGAAAGTGCGGTTGGTATAGCCTTGTTTTTATGCAGATTTTAAGTCTCATGGATCGGGGATTCTGGCGCTGTATAGATTTGATGATGTCAAGATTCGAAGCGTTTGTTTCACTGACTAATATACAACTAAATATTGTCAATTCGGCAAGAGCCACTAAGTGTCCTTGGCTTCTAAGTGTAAGAAATAGATGGAACACGAGCGACTTTCGTGACGCGTAGCTACGAGTGATGATGTTTTTGAGCTTACGTAATATTGCGTAAGTTGTTGCCGGCGAGTGCAATTTGAAAACTTTTCAAAACATCACGAGTGACCATAAATCACAAACCGTACAGGCGATTTTCCTTTCTTAAATTCTAAGAGCGAAGGACTAACGCTAGCAACGCAATAGGGTGGCCGATTTATATTACTATCTCAGTTGATGAAACCAAATTCACCTTTCAATGGTTTAATAAATGCTCACAAGTTTTCATGGAAATCTTAAAGCATTTCATACAATCACTGTGACAGACACATTCAAATTTTGTTTTTCGGAAATTTTGAAGAAATAAATATGTTTTCTTCATCTCTTACAGCTTGATAGAGAGTGCTACACGAAACGCCTCCATTGCAAAGTATATCTTATTTCAGCCTTTTTTTTAATCGATCGATTAAGAGCAAAACAACTTTTTCTTGACATTGTGCTTAGCGGCGTCTCCTTGCAAGTCATTCGACGCCACCAAAATGTCTTTACTACCTTTAAAACGAAATTTTAGGCAGGGGAGTGGTAGAATCTTAAATTACATTTAGGTGAACACAAAAGGATTGCTCTTTTACATAAAATCAGAAGCTCGCATTCTCTTCCCCGTTTTTAAATTCTGAAGATTCTTCAACTTATCAAGAATCTGTTTATCGTTCGACTCGCGGCTTTGTTCTAAAGGTTTACTTAACTCGTCCGTTCTCTTCGTTTTCGGTTCAAGTCTCTCCTTTTCTTCGTATCGATGTTTACTTCTGTGTTTGTGCTTGTGTTTTTTCTTCGATTTACGTCTGGGTTTATGTTTATCCCGATATTCTTCCTCGCTGTCTGAGGATTCGGAATAACGCTTCTTTGTTTCTTTGTATTTATCGTTGCGTCTCCTTCGGTCAGAGTCTTCCTTAGTTTTCTCATGGTCAACGTTACGTTTTTCTTCAGAGAAAGAATACGAAGAGGTTGTCTTGTTGAGAGAGGGCGGTAGTGCCGGCCCGAAACTTTCAGGAGATGTGTCCGCTCTCTCTTTATCGTTGTTTTTCACGGATACAATCTGCATTTCAGACGGTCTATGTTCCTCTCTTTCAATAGGTTTGATGCGCAATTCTTTATATAAAGTTTTATCATTTGAAACATTTTCTCTCGAACTGTTTTCTTTGGTTCTTTCATCGACATGGCTCCGCGAAGCCACTTCAGGCGATTTGTTTTCCGAAGTAGTGATCAATACATCTTCGGCTCCCTTTTCTTTACCGACTTCGTCCTCATCGCTTGACGCCTCGGATTCATCCGAAGAAGAATCGGCGAAAATAGCTTTGAATAAATCCATACCTGGCCGCTTTGGCACAGAATTCTCTCCATTCTCTTCTTCATGAGCTTTATCGTTTGATTCTCTTAAATCTAGTACATCCGAATTAGATGAAGCTCTTACTATAGAAGGCGCAATAGCTGTTTTCGTAAGTGTATCAGAGCTAACCGACTTTAAATCGGAAGGCTTCGGCTGACGATCTATTCCACTGACCGTTTCCGTAGAGCTTCCGGACTTGTCATCATTGTTAGCACTAGATGTCGAGTGCTCGAAAGTAACTGCACGAGGTTCTCGAGGTACAATGAAATCTCCGAGTGTGAACTTCGGCTTTCGTACCTTCGGGACCCCTACGACGCGGGATTCCGGATAGGGGTTCGGAATATTGAACCTTTTACATAAAACATTATCAGGATACCACTCGAAGTTATCACGAGTTAGTTTTCCAAACATTTTCATAGAAGCTGCCTGTGCCTGCTCGGAAGAATCTGCAGATTCTTGAGCGGGTACTTCTTCGTACACCACTCTGTGATCATCTGGCTGTTTCGCAGTCGTAAATCTGGCCGCCATTGTGGAATTCATTGGTTTGTACAAGGATGCAGAACGGAAAAATTCTTCCCTTTCGCGTTCTCTTTCCCACTCCGTTAAGCCACTGAAAGATGAAACGAAAACTGAGCTTAGTCTACATTCGAACCGAGTGGCCCATCCGGCTAGAGCGTAACCCAG